AGTGGTTATTTAAACAAGTCAAAGTGGCAGCTGCAACTGTGTGATTGAAACCCACCTCTTTTTATGTGTGGGTCACATGCTGGTCACATTTAAAAAATAAGTTTTTTTCTTTACTTTGAAAGTTAAATATGTCTGTCATGAATGCCCCAAACACAGATTTAAATCTCTTTGCTGAATAAGTGTTAAGAATGAATTTGGAAAGTCATAAAGCTAAAGCAAGGAATTAACATATTGCAATAATCAGGAATTCTACCAGAGGACATAATGTACCACTAGAAGATAATTGAAACAGGGAAATCAATATTTCATATTTCATACCACATGACACAAATATACTCATACTTAACAAAAATATCTTCCATTCCAATTCAATTACATTTTCTCCATAAAAGCTACATGCATGTCAAAAAAAAATGATTCAATAATTTTTCTGTTTTACCACATATAAAAAAGTGACTACAGAGATTGGAAAAATAAAGTAAATAGAAGGCCATTTAACCTGATAGTTACTCCTTTTGAAAAAAAGGGTCATTTCTTATTAATGCATAAAAAGATGAAAAACTATAGGTAGTTATAATCGAGTCCCTGATAAATAAATGAGAAGGTGGAAAAAATCAGATAGTGGAAGAAAATAAAAAGCAAACAGAACTAGCAACTAATCTGAATTACTTCTCTAAAAATAAAGCACTTATTGTTTGGAGAAGTCACAAAGATACCTCAGGATTTAGAAACTATAGCCAATTCTGATTTGTCTTGGGGTAATTTAAACAGAAAAATGAATTGGACTTTTGTTGTTGGCAACAGAGGGGCAAAAAAGTCAAATGCTTGCCACAACTGTGTGACTGAAATCACGTCCCTTTTTATATGTGCAAAAAAGTGGTGAGGCTTTAATTACACATTTGCAACTGCAATTTTGATAACATTGTGGCTGGTTCCAGATGCCTTTTTGTGTGCAATGCTCCAGTATCTTCTTTTTTCTCACTTTATGTAAGCTTGCCCTAATATGTGTGGCTTCTAATCAAATTCCCCAAGGGTATGATAGCCTTCCATAAAACTTTCAAAAAGTGTACTGTTTTGGCTCAACTTTATCTAAAGAAATGTTTGCAAGCTTTTGCCAAGAAGCATGATGGAGAATATATTTGACTATGCAGGTATTTGCTTATGAATGCACCATGGATAATTTTTGTGGACAGCAATTGCACTTTGCTCATAACAGTTCATTTCCATAGAACCAAAATTACATTACAATAGTAAAACTGCATAACAAAGGTAAAACCAAAAACAAGTATACGTTGACAACAGGAAATAATTGCAAGAAGCTTTTAGTGGTCATCTATGCACATACAAAAAAAATCTGCACTGATGTTGAAAATAAATTCATTTTAACAACCCTACCCTGCAGTGTTTTGCAGATATAATAGGGTAAGCTTCTCAAGAGAAAAAAACAGATGTGAATACAAGCCTGCAAGCTCGTTACAGTCCCTGTATACATTTCACAAGAGATGATTCTGTGTCATGTATACTGAAATATATTCAACATCTCCTATTCATGGAGATTTGGCCTGATAAATTAAGGCAGAACTTGCCAACCTGGGGGTGAGAAAAAAGAAAGTTAGCACCATATTTCAGAATCTCAGCTTAATACTTAGCCTTTCTAGACAAAAGGAAGTTCAGAAAAAATGAAGCAGATCTATCTGATACTAATTTAGAAAGAATAGGTAACAAGTGAAGGGAGGAATCTGACTTAGATTTTTGATACTTATTTTTCTATGCTGTCCTGTCCTTTTCTCTCTCTCTGTGTGTGTAAGTACAGCAATTGGATGTCCTTCAGCTTGTTATGAATATTTCACATTGTACATGAGGAAAGTATTTCTCCTTAGAATTTTTTTGTGATTTGGAACAGCAATTTGAAATCCTTCCTCGATCTTTTTATAATGATTTTTTATTTATTTTTAGCAGACCATCAAAATTTTATAGTTAGTCTGGAACACCATATTTTCTTTTGTAATTCTCATGCTAAAACTCCTATTTTCAGTTAAACAGCTCTGTAATATCCCCTTCAGTAGCTTGAATATATAAACATTTGCTATTGTTTATCTGTTGTGTGATTATAGAACACAGAATAACAGAGTTGGAAAGAATCTTGGAGGACTTCTAATCAAATCTGCTGCTTGAGCTGGAGACCCTACATCATTTCAGACAAAGGGCTGTCCAGTCTGTTCTTGAATAGCTCCCCAACTTCTGGAGGCAAGCTGGTTCAATGATTAGTTGTTCTTACTGATAGCAAATTTCTCCTTAATTCTCAGTTGGATTTCTCTTTGATAAGAAGGATTGACATCTTGCCAGATGTTCTGATGCCGTTTAACAAAATACAGGTTATAGGAATCTTTTAAAAAGTTTTTTTAATGACCTGCAAGGCAACACTGATTGTCAAAGTCTTACTTCCCACAACCCTCAGGATTAAGGGGACATCAAGTGGGGTGCCCATAGGGGATAGAGCTTAGGTTTAGTGATTAAGGCAGTGGGCTAGAAAGCAGGAGGCTGTGTTCTCAAGTCCTGTATTGGCCATGAAGCCAGCTGGGTCAGCTTGGGTCAGGCACTCTCTCTCTCTCTCTGCCCCTAACTCATTTCACATGGTTGTTGCTGTGGGAAAAGTAGGAGGAAGAAGGTATGCTGGATATGTTTATTGCCTTGAGTTATTTGTAAAAATAATAAAGGCAGCATATAAATAGACAGACAGACAGAGGCAGCAGAAACCACTAAGTTACTGCATCAAAATAGGAAGTGGGAGCAGCATCTAAAAACCCCAGAGGAGGTTTGAGTTCACCAGTCTTTTATGTTTATAGCATCAGGCAAAGCGGTTCTACTATAATAAATAATTGTATCAAATATAATTTGAATTATAATTATTATCTTCCATTTTTGAAAATATAAAATTTGTAAAGAGTATACCACAAATTTTAATCAGCAGCTTTGCTGAAAAACCAGGATTCCAAAAACAGTTTATTTTTTTTAGGAATAAATGATACCAAGAGACAGGACTAAATCATGTCAAATTGGATATTCATACCAAAACTCTGGTGTGTCAGTTGAGCCTATAAGTGTGGCAGAGCAATAAAGTAATGGAACTCATAATATGAAGATCAGGATATGTTAGGGATTTCATTCAACATAATAGATTTAACTCATTGGTGGATATAAAAAGGAATCTCAACATTTGAACCATAAAACTCAACCCAATTTTTTTTAAAGAGACATGTTGCTGGAGAAAAGGACGAATTCAAGATATCTATACTTGTTTTTGTAGTATTGATAAAATTGGATAATGATATTGTCTGGTTGTACATTAGATTGAAAAGAAACCATAACCACAGCCAAAAGAGTGAGAAATTTTGAAGTTGTGTGTTATTCTGAGACAATTTAACCTTTGAGTTTTCTTAGATTTCTTTACTCTATTATTAAGAATCAGTATACACTATTTCAATTTAACACAGAACTGTTTTAATGTAAAAATCCTTTTGTTCAAAAATGAATAAAACATTCCATCAATTTATTCACTACTAGTCAAATAATTAATCCATAAAATTGGGCAAGCTTCACTGCATATTAAGAACAAAAATGCAAAGCCAAAGCAAGCAACTGACTGAATGCTCCCCCCACGACCCTTGCTGAGTGGCTTAAAAAAAAAGATCATTAGAGAAGGACAGGAATGGTTGACACTGTGGAACAAGCAATGCCAAACATGAAATAATGTTACAGAGCTGTCAAATTATATTTGACAACTGCAAAATAGGCTGCTTATCTAAGAAGGGTGGGCCAAATTGTTAGGGAGCAATTCTAAGTAATTCCCAAACTGCTTGGTGACTAAACATGGAAAGAAAATGCTAATTCATTATTCATTTCAGCAATGAACATCACAATGGATAATTTAAAATGCCACTGGTTAATATTAAATAGGGAATCTTTAGAAGAATCACAGATGCGCACATATGTTTCAACAGTGAAGCTTTCAGATTTGAACTAGTTGTATTTTCCATTTCAAAATGAGTCATCATTGCTCTAGTGCAGTGATGGTGAACCTTTTAGAGACCGAGTGCCCAAAAACTGGCCCCGCTCCTGCTCCACCCCCGCCGCGCTCCTGCTCCACCCCCACCCCATCCCCCACCCCACCTTCCTGCAGGGCCATTCACCACCTCCAGGGCCCGCTGCAGATCACCCAGGCAGCCCAGCAGCGCCATGGCGGCCACGCCCTCTGCCCGCACCCCGCAGCATCAACTGTGCTCGATGGGGCGTGAGGGAAGAGTCTTGTCTACACTGCCTGGCTGCCATGTCCTTGGCTGCACTGCTCCGTGTGGGCCA